CCCCCCCGTGGGCGCGCGGTGCAGGACGCGGAGGAGGAAGCTACCGCGGCGGGGCCAGTGGGACGGCGGACGGAGCAGCAAGACCATCGAGACTGAAAGAGAGTGTGTCTGAGGAGAGTAAAAAAAAGTTTGAGGGCTTTATTTTTGTCAGATCGCCCTGCTGGCAGCCGATTGCCAAGAGATGCTGGGGTCTTATTTTTCTGGCTGACCCCTTTGGCATCCCCATCCCTCCAGTTCGTCGCGAATCCACAATTGTGCATATTGGACAGAGAGGCCTCGCCTCGACCTCCCTCCCTGGCGTTGCACATCGGTGTTACACAGCAGCCAGCTGGGCCCGGTCTCCGATCCATGAAGGTTACGAGCTGCTGTATAATATTATGACGGGGAGGGGCAAAGAGAAAGACGAAGAAGAAGAAGAAAAAAAAAGCTTCAATTGAAGGGGCGTGCCCAAGCATTGAGACGGCGTGAAGAAGCACGGAGCCCCGGTCAGGTCCTACGGTGTGCTCGCTGCCACGGCCCGTTCGCAGCTCTGTCTCGCTCGTGCCTACATACATACGCGGACCCCCCCCTCCCCTTGCGCTGTCAAGGAAGCTTAAAAGGCAGCACTTGGCAAGCCCTACCTGGTGTATATCATTTGTGAACGGCCCTGCATGCACACACGAGTTGTGAATCCGCGCCGCTCGCCATGCGACATATATGTACCCCATAAAAGCATGGATTAAAATAAATCTCGCCCGGGGTTGAGAACCGGCTCGGGAGAGCATTGCTCCAACTCTCCGAGCGCTCTGTGCCATTGGCTTGAGCTCCCCCCTGCCCTGGCATGGCCTGCCCTGCCCTGCAGCAGCGACTGAACGAACTCACGAGAGCCAGGGAGGGGAGGGACACCCCCGGAGGCATTTTAGGCATTTTGGCAGGGTCAGGGTCAGGACAGGGCATCGCGGGTTGCCAGGGGCCGCGCAGGATCTGCGGGAAATGGCTTGCGGCCGTGGTTTGATGATGATCACGATGAGCACGGCACATGAAATCTGGGATCAGGGCATGTGAGCGAGTGAGTGAGCGCCATCGACTGCGATGGCGCATGTGCGCCCCCCAAGGCTGGACGATGGCTCACCATGTCGAGATGCTGACGGAATCCTGCAACAGGCCGTCTACTGCCTGCACATTGCCAATACCGAAAAGTTTGAGGGCCTGAGACGCCTTGGCCGTCGTGTTCGATGCCGCCACGGTCGTCGCTCAAGCAAGGGCGCTTGGCGGCTTGTGGCCCGCAGGGCATACGTACAACGCCTCGAGCCCTGGCGGTGTTATGGAGCAGTACGCACTCCGCATGTACGAGGCGTTGCTTCATACCGATGCAGATGATGGGCGCTTCCTGGCGCGGCCTTTGCTGCGGCCGCATGTGGCCTCGCAGGTGAGGCTGGGAGATGCATCAGCACCAGCACCAGCAGCACCGGCAGCACCGGCACACCCTCCTTGATTCCTCCCCTGAAGGAGGCCCCCCTTGTCACTCTCCCCGGGAGCAGGGCAAGGCGGCGTTTTGCCTGCTTGCCTGCTTGCATGCCTGCCTGCCTGCATGCGTGGCCTGAGCAGCCCTGGTTCGCGGGCGAACCGCCACGGGGGCCTTTGCATCATCAGAAAACAAAAACATGACGATGCAGGTTCGCGCGAGGGCCAGGGCCTGTCACCGTCTGCGACGCCGCCGCCCCCGGCGAACCCTTTTCTCTTGGAGCAGACAGACACGAGCGCCGCGGCGGCGACTCGCCGCACCGGGATGACGGGGTTCCGTTGCTGGCACGAGCGTCGCCAGCGGGAAAAGCGGGAGAAGAGGCGGCAAAGGCGGAACTTGTGCGCGGCCGAAGCCCTGGCGTGCAGAGTCCACGTTTGCAAGTGCGGTGCCTTGCATGGCGCGGGCGTTGTGCCCCATCAAATGGCGCGGTGCGTTAGGTTGTTGCGACTCTTCACGGTGCCCTGGAGGAAGACCCAGGAAGACGAGGTGGTAAGTTCAGTGGACAGCTGGTGGTGCAAGTGGTGCTGTTGTGCAGTACGTTGGGTACTTGGCAGCAGGCCAAGCCTCAACGGCTGCCGATGCCCTGCCACCTCACGCGCTGTACGTACTTTGTCCTCTCATGCACCTGGTTGGGGACACAATTGTGCGTCGTCATCACAACTCCCAGCGTCTGCGACTCGCTCCCGCTTCGCGCGGCTCCGGGCATCGACGACTCCCCTCGACTCTGTCTGCTTGGCGGATTTGAATTCGCTCCGAGGCGTGGCCGATGATCCAAGCTCGTCGACTGCCGAACACTTCGCATCGGGATACGATAACGGGAACAGAGCGACGCCCAGTGTGGAGCAACAGCCCAGGCTTCCCCAGACTCCTGTCCGATGACTGTGTCCTTTGTCAGGCACCTCGGGCTGGACTGGACCGGGGGGTTCGTCGTGTGGCGTGACGCAGACTGGACGGACGAAGCGGCGGCGCGCGGCAGCGACAAGTCGGCACAACCGGCTCCGAGGGCGTGCAGCAACATCCTTGAGCGATGCGGATGGAATGAATGGACGACCAGCGCGGCAGGCCGTCCAAGGGCCAACGAGTGTGCGCCAAGAGGCGGCTGGCGAGGCGCCAAAACCACCTCTCATCAAACGCGCCTTCGTGTTGTCCGCAGAGTCCGGCGAGCCGCTCCTGCGGTGGCATCATCCTGGGCCCCCGTTACGTACGATCAACGGACTCGCAGCAGCGGGATGGATGGACAGACAGACAGGGTTTCCGGCGCCAATTTCGCTGCACGACAATCCCCTGTGCCAGACAAGACTCCATCGCCAGGGTTCGTGCAGACAAGGCAACGCAGATGGCAAGCAGGCTTCCCCTCAACTCGACGCTGTCCCATCTCCCACGCATGGGTGAGGGTGTGACAGGTCACAATCTCAGCCACGGCTCCCCCGCACTCTCGAAGCGGACGGGAGAGGACCCTTGTCTTGCCTTCCTGCCTGTCTGCCTGGCGTCCTTTTTTTCCCCGGACGCTCTCCTGCGCTAGTGATGCCGCCCGTCTGTCTGTCGCTTGGCCTTCACTCCATCTTGCTCGCTTGTTCCGGACAGCGAGCGTCCCGTCCGTATGCCTGCCTGCCGGCTGCGGGGTGCCCCAACACGAACGAAGGTTGCCTCCAGATGCGGAGAAGACAGCCCGTTGCACCGTGCGTTTCTGAGGGAAGCCCTGGAGTCGCCGTGGGTGGTTTGGTCGGCGTTCATCGACTGCCCGAAGCCAATCGCGTGCACGGTCGGCATCGCATCACGACGAACAAGGGACCTGCGCTCGAGCCAACTGCTGGCCGGTGCCCTGCCCTGCCCCCCTCCTCCTCAATGTCCATGTCAACGGGCACTTGCAAGGCGACCCACGATGACGACCAGGCTGGAGCTCACCAGGTTGCAGGACCCCGGCGGCATGAAGCAGGGAAGCGACCTGGCAGTTGGACGACGCCCACTTGCGACTTTGTCTGTGCGTGCAGAGAAGGGTTTCATCACATCATTTCTGATTTCCAAGCTACTGCTGCTGCGGAGAACTAGTGCTGTGTTGTACCCGTCGTACGCCTGCACTCGTCCTTTCATGTCCGTGTGTTGCGGAGGCATGGCCGCATCCCCAATGATCAACGACGATACCCCCATCCAGCCCGGCGGGAGGCGATGAGGCGACTCCACCATCCGCGTCCGCATCCACCCTTTCCGAGGAACGAGCCGTGCCTCCCGTCACTTGCGAGAGTTTGGCGCCCTTGACGACAAGGCGGGGTACGAGCTGCAACTCTGCACCATCTTTGCACGGCTTCACACCACCTTGCCCACGCCTCAGTCGAAATTCGATCGTCGGACTGCGTCCACGCGAAGAGCGCAGAGCAATTGCCGTTCAGCCATCCCTTCTTTTGAGCGCAGATTACCACCATCGCAGCCATCCATCCGGCCTCGCCTCAAGGCGCAATCACACGGCCTGAGGGTTGACCTGCCGACGCGATGGTGAGCCACCGAGCCTGCTCATAGGACAGTCAATGCTGAACTCGGGGCATTATGGAGAGCCACCATCCAAAGGACCAAGACACTTGCTTCCATGTTAGGCAATTCTTTGCCACCCCCGGATCTCCACGCTTTCATGTCGCCGACCACATGCACAATCGCAAGCACGGCACGACAACAGAGCGCCGCCCGTTCGCCTCGGATTTTCATCCGGGTCCAGCCCGGTACGTGCAGCTGGTGTCCCGAGCCGGCATCATGCAAAGCACGCTCCTTGCATGGCAGTCTGTGTGCCCTCCATGGCAACACGAAGAGGACACAAATGACGTGAACTGTTCCATTGCCGCTTGTACGGACGAATCCGTCGAGCAGAACTCAATGCCCCCGTCTCCTGCAAATTACGCTCGAGCCCGCTGGACAACAATGCGTCGACTTGCAGATGGCACGGCTGAGGTGAAGAGGCAATCTCGGCGCAAGCGAGTGAGCCCTTTCCGCCCTGCGCAGCCCGGTATGTTTCCGCCTGGGTACTTCGTGCGTACACGATCAGTTTGCTACTTGTTTCATCGGCAACGGCACTGCGGGATTGGGCAATGGATGAGTGGCCGCTGCTGTCTCCGTTGGCCCTCTCTGTCCTACCTACGCCCCCGTGTGTTAAGAGCCTCTCACAACGGGCTCAAGAGGGCTGGGGGCTCTGTGTTGCGTCAGGATGCCACCTCCTTGTCAGACGCCACCAGCTCAGTGGTTGACAGACACTCTCCCTCTCGCACTGCCCCATCTTCAGCCAATGTGGCCGCTGCGCAATAACGAGATCGATGCTCCAACCACTCAAGACTCAAGACAGACTGTCTCCGGCCCGGCCGACCAACTGCGACAAGTCGCGAGAAGTCCCACCCTGCACCCGATCACCTGGTTCTCTCTTGGCCGCTGACGTCCATCGGCAGTTGGCCTGCAGCATCTTCTTTGATTACTCTCGGATGAACCACCGTCCTGGGATCAGTGGTGATTCAGTTGGGCCCCAGCGAGAGGCTTATCAGCGTGACCAACACGACTTGCGACTCTGTAGCGGCGCCACCAACAGGAGCCTTTCCCAGGGAGCTGGTAACAGGCGCCTTGTAGATGGGTCCTCTGCGAAAGCACGAATCTCTCTTCGCAGTCGTCCAGGTTCATGGCTCGCACAAGGCGCAATCTCGTCGCCCGCAACATCGATCCCTACCGGCCGGCCGGTTGCATCAAGGTGACCAGCATGCTAGATGACACACCCCCCGGGGCTGCAGGACATTGTATTACCCTTTCCTTCGGCCTCCGTTATGACAGCGCAGTTTCTATGCGGAGGTGGCGTCGGGGCACACGAGCAGCCGCCCGCCACGGCTTCCAACGTCTCGAGGAGCATTCTCGGCCAGTGAAAGGACTTGATACCTCCTCCTCCTTCCCAGCAGCCGGCCCGCTCGCCAAGTTCCCCCTGCAAGCCTTTGGGGACATTCGTGTGAGTGGGCTTTGCCATGGCGAAGAAGCGTGTGAAAATTTTCTCGCTGTTTGCCACCGGGACGTCGGACCAAGTTGCGGAGCGCAGAAAAAAAATATGTGGCCGGCGCATAACAGGCCAGTCCGCGGCCTTGGGCATTGCATTTACGACGTGGTCCATGTCGGCGAGCTGGAGCTGCCCGTCGCCGGGGCCGCGATGAGGCCTATGCGTCGTCCCCTGCGAGACATCAGACCTGGCGTCCCGACGCCCGCAAAGGCGCATACATACATACGTGTAATCCTCCGTAGGGAGCGAGGTACCGAGAGTCGTGCACAAGAGTCGAGCACGGACGTCCCGCCCTTGGGCAACGTTTTCGCTAGTACGGAGTAGTAGTAGCAGTGTCCCCGGTAAGGCAGAGTAAAATTTGCCGACCTCAAGCGGCCCTTTCCGAGATATGGGCACAGCCAAGGTGAGCCTCGCCCGTGTTCTGTGATGTTCACCAGCATACGGAGCACACAGAGAATGACCAGACATTAGTGTTGCTGTATTATGTATACGCAGTCCGTTCTTCTTACATAGTACAGTATTACAGTCTACAGCCACGGCCCAGCCAGCTGAGTGGCAATGCATGACAATGAACTGCCGCGTTTCAAAACCCTTCTCCATTGAGACTTGCGCATGACATGTCGTACGAGGGTACTGCACGACGGGGCGCGGGCGCGCGGGCGAGCGAGTTGCAGGAAAATAATAGCCCGACTCCCCTTGTTTCCCTCGGCTCAATGTTGTTTCCCTTTCCCTCCACAGATGCATGCATGGTCCATGTGCTGTCTCTTATACACATCTAGATGTGTATAAGAGACAGCTTGATATGGAACTTACACGTGGGCTTCCACGTACGTACGTACTCTGTACGTAGGTAGCACGCACGCACGCACGCACGGCACGCGAGCTCGCCAGTAGAGAGTCCGATTTTATTTTATTTTTTGGCACGCAAATACATACAAGGCCGCGCGTTACGGTACAGTACTTGCCTTGCTTCAGTATCGTGTCAGCTCAGCTTCCCCCTGTACTCGGAAGACTTAATCAAGTTCGTGCCCGTTTCTGGTAGTTCTTGCCACTGAAGGGGCGGAGGCGCGGTGCAGAACCTCGCGTTACACGACGTCTCGTCGGCAGCCCTGCGTCTCTGCGTTCTGGCTCTGCGCTGCCCGCGAATGAGACCAAAGCAGACAAGGGGGGAGTGAGTGTATGCCTTGTGAACGCCTTGCGAACCCTGAGACGGGTAGTGGTACAATGTAGGAGCAGCTCGATCGCGTGCGCCCTGGTTGGTAGGCAGGCACTTGCTCGTGGTCGCCGTCGCTGCTGCCGCTCTCATCCGGGGAAGGACAGGACAGGACAGGACAGGCAAAGCAGTCTGCGCACACGTGGCACGGCATGCCGGCTCGCAGCGGCAGAGCATGATGCTTGCCTTGCTTGCCTTGCTTGCTTGCTTGCGTCGCAGGGAGAAACGCATTGAGGCCGTCCATGGGCTGGACGGGACGGACGACGATGCGAGCGAGCCGCATGTGGTTGAACAAGCAGCAACACTCTGTGAAGTTGAGTCGTAGGCCGTCCGCCGCGCGCCTTTGTGCAGATAAAACCCATCACGGCGAACAGATGGCTGGTAACTACGGCCCAGCCGCCCTGTCGAGCAGCATACATACTTCGTGGTTGGACCCCGGTGTCGATCTGCCGCTTTCCGCCCCGGGTTCGGGGTCCCGCGAAAGCAAGCTGCCAGCCCGGGCAGTAGCACTGTACCACTATACCATTGCGGCGTTTCGTCAACGTTGTACATGATGCGTGCGCGGTTTTGGGGCTCGCCCGACAACGGGCAGAATTCTCCGTGCCATGCCATGCCATGACGTGACAGGGCATGACGTGCTCCCTCCCTCCTCTCTTCCCAGCCAGTCGTTACTCGACAGACCTGACTGACTGATTAAGTGACTGACCAGCAGGCAGGCAGGCAGCCAGCCAGCCAGCCAGCGCCAGCCGCGGGAAGTCGGCGGCGCCGTCGTCATCGTCGTTGGACAAGAAACAAACACAACAACCCTCACGGATTCGGACCCGGCTGCAGTAGATCCGGGCCCAGACGCCCGTGTAGACCCATGCGTGCTTGCCGTCTCGCCAGGCGCGGGGGGGGGCTCGATTGGGCTGCTGTAAAAAGGTCACACGGCTTGACCGGCAGAGAGTGTTGGGTCAAGGAAGTTGAGAGAAACGAAAACGTGAAGCCAACAGTGTAGGCCAACAGAACAGACGGACAGACAGAGGGGCTTTCTCGTTCAAGAGTCGTGGCATTCATCAGGCCATTCGGGAGGGAAAGGGGGGGGCTGGAACTGGAATCCGGGGTTGCGGGTTGCAGATGTCGAGGATTGATGTGTGATCGCAGAGTGTCGCCTGACCTGTACTGCACGGTTGCGTTGGATTCGCGGTGGTGTTTGCACCGCCTTGCGTGCGCCTTGGCAGCACGAGACGAGGATGGCAATTGGAGACAGAGAATTTCACGGTCTCCATGTCTGGAATCCCTTGTCAGGAGAAGAGTCCATAGTCGGTTCATACTTGCTGTCGTCAATGCTATTGCCCTCCATCCGATGCATGGAACGGCCTCGCTTCTCGACCCCTTGACTTTTCCGCCGGCCTGTCGAACCATTGCTGGCCCCCCTTGCATTCACCCTGACTCCAAGGCGCGTTGCAGAGCTTAGGAGATGAATTAGCCAATGCCTTGAAAACACATCTTGGGATTTGCGTCGTCCTCGCCGTGATGTCGGCCGGCTCGGTAGGGTGTATACTCGAGAGGTTGAACAGGGACGATGGACCTTGCCACGCGAAGGGAGGGCGTGTCATTCATTGCTCGCCATGAGTCAAACTTTCAGTTGAGTCTAGCAAATGCGCACTTCGCATCGTTTCTTGTCCTTGCCGTCGTTTGAAGATGAAAGCCTCGGCTTTCCAATGTGTAGTTCTGGAAGCTCTCTGACCTTGAGATAGAAACGCTGTATCGGTCCCCATAGGTCGATTCGTCACGAACCAAGCCTGGCACCAATTCCTTGGATTAAAGCTGAGTCTTGAAAGCAAATTCATCCGTTATATTCTCGCCAAACTTGACTACCTGCGTTTCCAGACATCAAGTCGTGTATCCGGCACTATCTAGACGACCAGCATCAACAGTGAAAGAGAACTCCATACAAAGAACGCTCACCATACACTTCAATAGCCTTCGAGTCCATAAGAAGACTCGCGCGAGGCCACCCAGCCTCTCCTTCCCTCCCCATTCCCAAAGCGACACCATTTCTCTCTCCGAGGACTCACTCTGAGCACCTACTCTGCAGATGACGGCACCCCATTCTGCTTCTGGTTGCGAATCTTGTGCAGGGGAATTCGGGGATAGATGCCCGCGACAACCAATACCAACGCAATCAAGATGCCCCACCACTTCATCTTCAGGACGCCCAAGTTGTAAGACGTGTCGGTGGTGAAGAAGACCGTCACCAGCAGCAGCGGCAAGATGACGGCATACGCAAACACGCGATGCCACTTCCACAGCGTCCTGGCCTTGGCCTCGCCGCCATACAGCCCCGGGGTCGCCCACATGGTGAAGCCGACAAAGTACTGCAGGATGAGCAGGATACTCGTGGTGACGCCAAAGTAGGCGTGCACGGAGTGGAAATGCGGGTTCCCGCCGGCGACCTTGTTGTACTCGACGATGACGACGCCAAGGACGAGCAGCACGAGGGCGACGAGGTTCAGGGACGCGTGGACGCGCTGGCCGGTGCGCTTCTGGGCGGCCGTGTGCGTGGGCTGCAGGAACAGCACCGACTGGACGAAGACGAAGACGGCGAGGGACTGGGCGAGCGGGTGCCCGGAGAAGAGGATGAGGGGGCTGGTGAAGACGGAGGCCCAGACGATGCCGACGAGGAGGAAGGCGCCGAACTGCGCGAGGACGGCAGTCCCTGAAAGTGTACGCGCACGCATTAGCAACTATCAACTCATGATAGTGCGCGGATCATGGGGACGTGGCACCATACCCAACGTGAGGTTCGTCCAGTACGCTGCCCCCTCATGCTGCGCAGCATCACCGGGCCGTCCAAGGAGCGGCTCCGTCTCTCGCGTAGTCGCCGACCCATCTGCCTCGAGGCCGTTCGGGGTTCGACCCGGTATACCTGTGGCACTCGCCATGGCAAACGATATGAGAGCGATACTGGTTCAATCTATTGATGGCGGCTGAGGTCGCTGATATTCGTGAGCAAGCAACCACTGCAATGCTGTGACGGTGTTTCTGCTTCACTTCGATGCCGAGTCGTACCGTATGAGACGACGCAAGGCAAGCGATGAGCAAAGGTCGTCCGCGTTGAACTCGGGGGTTCGGCAATCGCTGAGGGGTCGGTCGGTCGCCTCAACTCATCACACCAGGCGCGCGCGCTCGCGCTTGAGTGAAACAAGGGCAAGTCGATGACGGCACTGTGATGCTTACCATTTCTGGCAGCTTGACTGGCCGGCCGAGGCGAAGCTACCGGCCGCGTTACCCCACATCCTGCACAGTGTCAGCCTAAATATCACCATCACGGCTCCCAATCACGTCAAGGACAGGACGACCGGGGGTTCGCGATCGCGTCTTGCCTGTGCTGCGGCTGGTTGTTGCTGTCTTGTCTGCAGCATGTTGCGAGGCTTCGTCTGTTGGTGGAACGCGGGTGTGTGTGTGTGTGCACAGAGTACGAGTATGTGGGGTCTGGTTCGACAGAGGACGATGCCTGCCGCCGCCTTGGTGAGACTTGAAGACGCTGTATGACCCGTGGCCGGCCGGTGATTGATTCCACACGTCTTGTGCCGTTGCGTCGGCCTTTCGAGTGTCACCAACTGTTTACACGGCTCCCTCGAGGAGCCCATGAGTTGCCCCAACCCAAGTGATATCTGGCACACTTAATGGCGGCAATGAGATGTTCGAGTGCCAAGCGCAAACTGACGCAACAACGACACAGACCCCCCCGCGCGAGCTCCAGCACAGCAACCACGGCATCAATGTCCCCCGGGGCCGGGCGGCCGCAGACACGGCTCCGATTCTCTCCGGTGCAGGGTAGCCGCCCCGAACATCGCCCAGGTCCGCGGGCGGGCCTTGAGCGGGGGCCACTGGCCGCCGCCGAGGCCGTGGGCTGCGGCGGTGGGGGCGGGGCTCCCCCTCCACCCCTGGGGCCCCTCTGGAATAGGTAAGAGAGGGGGCGACAGCGAGGACCCAGGCTGGACATCACATGCGGCGCGGGGCAGCGACCAAACTATAAGGTGATGGAAAGATAAACCATAAGGTGATGATAAGGTAATGGGTTCGCCCCGGCGCGACCCTCCCCAGGCCGTCCAGGCGGCAACCGCAGCCCCGGCCGGGTCATGCGTCGACGCTTTTGCTCGTCCTGCCCCATCGCCGCCCAACTTGGCGCCCGTGGAACGCGGCTTTGAGCGGGCGCCGGCCGAGAGGCCGCATCGGAAGTGGCCGATGGGCACCGGCTTCAAAAAGGGCGGGCCTCCCGTCCGTTGAACCTTTTCACGACAACCTCATACCATCCATTCGCTCGACTCAGAAAGCAGAGACGCAGACGCCTGACACCTGTCCAATACAACCACACCTCCACAAAGCCTGCCAAACACCCGCCAAAATGCCTTCCATCGCCGACGAGTTCGACTACAAGCTTGACCATGTCAAGACGACGTCGGTCAGCTCCGGCGACATTGACAAGACGTTCCGCTCAAGTTGCATTGGTGAGTTCGGCCTGCTCCCAAACCGAGTTGTGTCTACCCCCAACGTACTAACAGAGACGGCACGCAGACCTCGTCTCGGCCGCACTTGGCGGTAAGGTCCTCGCCTTCTCAGACCAGTGGTTCGCCGAGGCGGCCAACCTGCTGACACCCACTGCCCCCATCCACCAGCCCGGCAAGATGGTCTTCACAGGCGCCTGGTTTGACGGCTGGGAGACGCGCCGCCACAACGCCGACTTCGACTGGGTCGTCATCCGCCTGGGCGTCGCCTCGGGCACCGTCGAGGGCATCGAGATCGACACGGCCTTCTTCACCGGCAACTACGCCCCCGCCGTCTCCGTCGAGGGCTGCTTCAGCGCCAACGACGACGAGGTCGTCTCGTGGCAGGGCGGCCGCGGCAAGTGGGAGACCATCCTCGGCGTCGAGGAGTGCGGACCCTCGCAGCGCTTCGGCTGGAAGCTCGACAGCCCCTCGGGCAAGCAGTACACCCACGTCCGCCTCAACATGTACCCGGACGGCGGCATCGCCCGCTTCCGCCTCTTCGGCCACGCCGTCCCCGTCTTCCCCGACGACAAGGACGCCGTCTTCGACCTCGCCGCCGCCCAGAACGGCGGCGTCGCCGTCTCCTGCAGCGACCAGCACTTCGGCACAAAGGACAACCTCCTGCTGCCCGGCCGCGGCAAGGACATGGGCGACGGCTGGGAGACGAAGCGCACCCGCGGCAAGGACCACGTCGACTGGGCCATCATCAAGCTCGGTGCCCCCGGCTACGTCCACAAGTTTGTCGCTGACACGGCCCACTACAGGGGCAACTTTCCGCAAAAGGTGGCCATCCAGGCCCTGTCATGGAAGGGCCAGGGCGAGCCCGGCGACAAGGACGCCGCCTGGCAGGAGGTCGTCGCCCCGACTAAGATGGGGCCCGACGCCGAGCACGAGCTGGCCTGCGCCTCCGACAAGACTGCCTTTACGCACGTCAAGCTCATCATGATTCCCGACGGCGGCGTCAAGCGGCTGCGGGCCTTTGGGAGGCGGGCCGTTTAAGGGGAGGGGTGAGTTGCACTCCTCGCTGCCCTGCCCTGCGTGACGACTGTACGCGACGCCTGTATGCTGTGACAAGTACATTATACACTCTAGCAAGAAAATTGAATGAAGCGATGAGATAGATGAAATGACAAAAAAAAAAAAATTAACCAAAAGAACTGAATCATGGTGCCAAAGTGACGGGGTTGAAAATGCTTCTTGTTTGTGGCGAGGAAGAGTCATCTTAAAATCGTATAATGCTGGGCGGATGGAGTCCTGCTGCTGGTACCCTGGGAAACCTTCAAAGCTTCAATTTGGCCAGTGACGACGTCAGCTACCTCTTGTAATAAACGGGAGGCCGCAAGCAGTGCCCGGCCAAGCCCCCAATTCGCGTCCGTTGCTGGCGGTACCTGGCGTTCTGAGACATCCCCCGCGCCACACGGGTACCTTCACCAGCGCAGCCCCGCCAGCTGGCCGAGCTGGGAGCACGGACCAACGTTCTTGCCCGGCGCCACAGCGCAAATGACGACGTCGCTGGTGACTTCCACCATGCGGGGCTCAACGCGTACAGCCCCTGTACCTCCACCTCCGCCACAACACCTTGCCTTACCTTACCTTACCTCGCCTGGCCTTGCCTTGCCTTATGCACATCCACCGCTGGTGGCCCGACCCGCGTGCTTCCTCCTCCCAGAACCACATCCCACGCCCCCGAACGACCGCTCCGTCAACGGCGCTGCCTCCCTCGCGAGAGAGCTAGATGAGTCCGCGGCCCCAGACGGCCCCTTCTTCGCGCTCCCGCACCACAGCGCCTCTGCGGTCTCACCGCAATCAAGGGCAGCCGCGGCTCCCATGATCCCCCAGAGCCTGGCTGTGCCCCTCCTTCCACCATCATGGATATCGGGGACGCGGGCAGCGACAATGGCGAGCACAAGCCCCGCGCCATCCCTACCAACCTTCCCACGTCTCTAGATGACCGGCGGCACGCTCCGGTTGAGGATTATGTGCGCGAGACGGAAATGTACGATGGCTGGCAAGGTCGGTGCCCTCGTCCCCCGAGCTCCCGGCGCCCCGTGGCGGGCGACGCGGCGACGCGCAACTTCCCCGGCTTACTCCCGCTGCAGGTCAATCCCAGTTCCTGACGACGCCCGCCCTGGCGAAGCCGCTCAACTTTGGCAATCTCTCCCTCAACGATGCCGATTACGATCGCGACGTTGCCAAGGGCCCCACCGACAGCGATGCCCGGCTCATGGAGATGCTGCAGGCCCAAGCCGCCGCTCACCAAGCGGGCCAGGGCTACGAGGATGAGCAGGCAGTCGTCGACGACGAGAAGCTGACCGAGGCGGAAAAGAAAGACTTGCTGCACCGGGCGCTGACCATGGCGGCCAGCAACGGCGACGTCCAAAAAGTCAAGAGCCTGCTGACGGGCAGCGCCAAGGAGTTTGTCGACGTCAACGCCCCAGACGAGGACGGCACGCCGCCGCTGATATATGCCAGCTGCTTCGTGAGTCGATTCGAGTCACGCGTCGCGGTGCGCTGGTCATGCTAATCGAAAATCGTAGGGGCACGAGGCCGTGGTTCAGGCCCTGATCGAGGCCGGCGTCGATGTCAATAAGCAGGACCGAAACCAATGGACCGCCCTCATGTGGGCCATGACGAACCGACACAAGGGCATCGCAAAGCTGTTGCTAGACAACAATGCGTCGTCGGATCAAAAGACTTCGTCGGGGCGAACGGCGTTCGACTTTGTTCCGCCGGACAGCGAAATGTCGTATTACCTGCACGACAATGGCTACAACATCGGAAACGCGGGCGTGACCGACGACTTTTACAGTCCTGGCTTCTCGCAGGACCGGTTCGAAGAGGAGATGGCGGAGAATGAGATGCGGCGACGGCTGATGATGGAGAGTGCTAGGGACCTCGAGGTCGACCTTGGGAACGTGGGGATGGATGACCAGCCAGAGGTGGGTATGCGTGCTCCCGTTCGGCGCAAGTTGCTGACAATCCTTTCAAGCCTGCCGATGAGTTTGAGGAAGAGCAGCAAGAATTTGACTGGAGCCGTTGTCTCCACGATCAAATGTTTGTCTTTCAAGAACACGAACTCGATCGGATACTCGACATCATCATCACCAAGATGACGCCACAAAGGTCGCCGTCACAGAAGCCAGTCCCCGCAAACATGATCTTCCTAAGTGCTCGGTACGCCCATTACCACTCCAGCCCGGAGCTCCTGGAGCGGTTGCTCGTCACGGCCATGGACCTCATCAACGAGGTCGTGGAAAGGTGTCAGTGGGACATGACCATATTGGCGTTCTGGATATCCAACGCGACTCTGCTCCTGCATTACCTCAAGAAGGATGCCGGGCTGGTCGAAGCCACGAGCGAGTTCCAAGCACATCTCGCCGAGCTCATCAACGAGATCTTCATCCTGATTGTCAGAGACGCCGAGAGGCGCCTGGACAAGGTGCTCGACGCGGCAATGCTGGATCACGAGACTATACCCGGCTTCGAAGACATCACCTTCCAGAATGAGTGGAAGCTGTTCAAGCGAAAGGCCACCGTCAAGGAGGAGCCGCTCGAGAAGCGCTTCCGGCCGCCCTCGCCAAAGCAGCGAGCGAAGCCGGCCCCGCGGAACGTGACGTCGCTCCTCTCCTCGACGCTGTTCGTCTTGGATCTTTACGACGTCCATTCGGTCATCACCGCACAGATCATCTCACAACTCCTGTACTGGATCGGGGCGGAGCTTTTCAACAGGATCATGTCCAACCGAAAGTACCTCGCACGGACAAAGGCGATGCAGATCCGCATGAACATTTCCATCCTAGAGGACTGGGCTCGGACGAATAACAGACAAGCCGAGCACTACGAAGGAGGAGAAACGAAGGCTTCGGGAGAGAACACGACGGACGCTGCCAGGAGGCACCTGGCACCAGCCATTCAACTCCTCCAGTGGCTGCAGTGCTTCTCGTCTCTCGGCGCAGACGACCTCGAGGCGTTGGTGGGAACGCTTCAGCAACTCAAGCGACTGACACCGCAGCAGCTCATCCACGCGGCCACTCACTACCGGCCGGAGGTCGGAGAGAAGGGTCTGCCAAAGAGCGCCATGAAGTACTTGGTGGCCATACAAAAGGAGGCGGCCCTCAAGCGCGAACGGCGCCGGAGCAGAGCGGCGTCACCGCTGCCCAAGACGGGGCAGGACAGCACGCCCGCAACGCCTGTCCGGGGCAAGCACAACGGCGGTGCGCTGGACGGTCCCGGCAGCGTGCAGAGCACGCCAAACCCCAACGGCAACGACGCGTCCGACGAGGAAGACGACGATGCGCCGGAGCATCTGCTGCTGGACCCGGCGCTCATGCTGCCTTTCACCTTGCCATCGGTGACGGACATGCTGGTGTCATACGGGGCCGGCTTTGGGGGGATGAACCGGGAGCGCGAGCGGAAATACATCCCGAGCGTGCCCCCAGAGTTTCTGGAGAAACTGGAAGTCACGGGCGTCCGGAAGGAGCCCATGTTTGCGGAAAAGGACTGGGAGAACGAAGAAGTGTAAGGGAAGGGAGAAGGGCGACGATGGCCGCGCGTCACCGGTGCAAGAGCAGGCGATCGAGACGGCATGCTCGGCGGGCTGGTGGTGCAGGACCTACATCTACCTACTTTGCACGCGACCAACCTCTTGACTTGGGCCGGCCCTTTGGCCTGCCGAACCACGCCATGCCCGCCTTGTGGTTCGTCCATGCGTAGTTGCACGGTAGCAAGCGACAATTGAAAATCGGTGAAACATCATCCCGTTGGTCGACGGCATCTACGGAGTACTCGGCGGGCGTGATGCTGATCGGCGGGCTACGATATCACAAAGGTGACCGATCCGCAGATGAGCAGACTGTGCGCTCGCAGGGGACATCGATTGTGAAAAATTTGCAATGCCCCTCATTCTCTTCGTCGGTCGGCGGCGGACTTTGCGCGGTCCCGGCCGCAACATCATCGCCATGCCCTTTTGTGAGAGCGGACCGGGATGTCGTCGAGTCAAGCAGGGCCTGGTGAGCGTGATAGGGCGCCAGAGGAACCAGCGGCGGGAAAGAAAAATTTCCCATCATTGTCCAATGGCCAAACGGTTCCCTCCCCCGTTCAGACCGAAGAGGCCAGCCAGGCTCTCGCATGAAAAAAAAAAACGGATTCTTCTTCGTCGAGAAGAAAATTTTCTGTTCGGTCGAGTTTAGCGTCCGGTGAAGGGGGCCAGCTGGTGTGACGACGACGACTGTCATGCACACTCGAGACGAACGGTGGTGAGTCCCCTAGGCTCGCACCCCCGGCCCGGGGCAGGCAAACCCAGGATCAAGGTAGCTGGACGCGCGCGCGGGGGAAAAGAGAACAGGGAATGGCAAATTGATGCTGCCCAAAAAAAAAAGGAGAAAAGAAAAATAAACGTCGATGCGGGAAACCACGGTGCGCGAAAAAGCTGAATCTGGCCTTTCGGCCGAGGCGCGCGATGGAGGGGGGGGATTCATTCATTCGCCTTGTTTGCTTCTTTATGCGGCGCTGCTGTGGGATGGAGGGACGGGAAGCGGATAGCCAGTGGTAGTCGCTAGGTCGTCACTCGGGGCGTGATGGGCACGGTGGTGGCACGCGCTTGCAGGCCCTCGCAGATCATGGAAACTACATGGGAATGAATGCTATTTGGTTGGTGTCCGTGAGGAAGTGGCAATGTTGTTGGGCAAGATTGCTCGCTTGCGTGCCTGCTTGCCCTTTTGCTTTTTTTGCCTTGTCTTGTGGAATCCGAGCGGCCGGGTCGTCGTCGTCACTCCGTCACTGCGTCACCACTCTCACCAACAACTTACCACCTCACCAGCTACCTGCTATTACCGGGCTGACGGGGGGTGGGGGGAGAGGGGCAAAGTTGACGGACAGGCCTGCCCGCGCCGCCTTCGTTCCCGCACTGCCCCCCCCGGCCGCGAGTGGGAGCATGTCACCGCCGCCGCTCGCCGCAGGGTCCAACACTGACAGAGTGGACAGCAAAGGGAACAAGGGAAATGGGCGTGGTGCGATGTGGCCCCGCAGAAGGGGAGGGGGGCAACGATGGGAAAGCTTGCCCGTGCTAATACACACACACACACACAAACGTCCGCGTGCGAGAGTGAGTGGCGGAGGGGGGGCGGGAGATTTGGCCGCGGACAAAGTGGGAGAAAAAGAGCCGTGCCCAATATCGTCGTCAGCCGCCGCTATTTGACATCTCTTACGAGTACCGAGAAGATGGAAAGATGGTTGGTCTTCCAAAGTGCTGCTGGGTGGTTGCGTCCCGATGGGGTTTGGCTTGGGGGGAAGATCAAGACGCTGCTGCTGCAAGATCAATGTTCCCGGTTCCGCGGGTCCATTGGAGCCAGGGGTCATACGTAGCCTCTTTGCTTCTCTTGCAAGGCTTGTCAGGCACTTTGACTAGTAGTCACCCGCAGTGCCGAGGTAGACAGGCGAAGGATGTGTGTACATCTAGTGCTCGCGCATGATTTCCAGCCAGCTAGCTAGACAGCCAGCCAGTCAGCCAGCCAGGGGCGAACATTGGCGACTGTCTTTTCGTTGTTATCAAGATGACTGCACATTTCAGCGAGTATCTAGATCTAACTAGGATCGTCGGTGTTGTGCTGCCAGCTCGTGCTCTCCTCCCTGGCCCTGGTACTTGTAAAGAGGCACGGCATCTGAATGAGCCACCCCGGGGAAGTTTCAAGGATCAGGATACGAGCGCGAGCTCGGTACGGGCCAACGGCGAGCATGGCATGTCCTCGTGAACAGGGTGGGCAGCCGACTGCGCGATAGCGTATCCAGCACTTCGTACATGATATGAACCGCTAGTAATAACAGCTTCCTGTGGCGCTCTCCGGTCCGCCGTGCTTTTTGGCCCTCGACCCGCGTGCCAGGGTCGCCAGCGAACCGGTGGAGCCTGGATCGAGAGACCATTTCTCACCTGGTGGCGGTCCGGCTTGGACTCGATGGAGAGGCGGAGCGAACAGACAGGTCTCGGGAGGATGAACAGGCCGACGAGGGGGCGGGCAGGCAAGGCTTGAAGTTACGTATCTCGAGGGTGTGCGCCTCCTGTCGCCTTACCCTCGCGGGCGGCGGCCATTCATGCAGAACGGGGGAGAGGGGGGAAACCTGCAACGAAATGCCGGCAGCAGCAAACTCTACAGAGAGGGGACTGGCTCACCATTGGCCGTTTTGTGCTCCGGAGTTTTGGCACAGGAAATGCACACTACTATTCTTGTACGTACGCAAGTTACGTTGCTCGTACGGCGTTGCGGGTGCCACTTCACAGGAGTCAATAATGGACGGAAGGAAGGAGACCCGAGTTTGCGTCTGTCGTTGTCAAACCTAAATGCTGCGGGCCTGGCAGGCCTCCTCCTCCTCCTCGTCCACTCCACACACAGGCGGTGGATGAGCCGACTGCCGGTGACGGGTCCGGCTTGCTTGCAGGGCCCCCCCAGGGCGAGGCCAACCTGGACGAGAGTAGCCCAGATTAGGTGTTAGTGCGATCGACATGGATGAAGTGGGTGGATTTTCGTTGGTGGTGGTTCTGGTGGTGGTTGTGGTGAAAGTGGTGGTGGTGGCTCCAGCTGCGATCAGCTGCTGCGGGCGGGCGGTGGTGGTGGTGGTGCTGACGTGCCCTGCTTTTTTTTCCGCCGCTGGTGGCCGTCGCTGCCGCCGCTGCTGCTGGAGACGGTTAGACGGGTACCTTGCAGGCCGTGGCGTCTGCCCGCCACCGCTAGCCGCAACAACCGACCTGCCCTAGCGAACCGAACGTCAACGTCTGGTGATTGTGTGGTGACGGGCGGGCGGTAGCATGTTGGGAGCACCGCCTCCGAACAGCTCGGCGTGGAAAAGACCGAAGGCATTGTCTGCGGCAGCGACGGCGTCTGCGAGAACTCCGTCCACCATTGTCCTCCCTCCGGAAGGGGGGCCGCCGGGCAGAATCATGCGCATGACGTGGCGCCGGGCCACGCTGACGCTGGGCGTCTCGAGGCCGTCTCAGGCCTCGCCGCTGTAGCAGTAGCGGTGGCAGCTGTACCGTACGTAGCAGTAGCAGGTGGGAAGAGCCCACGGTTCCCTTCATGCTGGGGGAGAGGACACGCTGCTCGACACGACACGAGCCAGCGACGACCACCAGCAGCGCCCACCGGCCATATGACCCTTAGTGCAGCTGTACCTTGCCTTAGCACGGCCGCCTGCGTTGCCATGGCGGCTGCGGCATGCTGCAGTCGAGCGATGGCTGCATGAGCTTTTCCTGCCGGCACCGCTCCGCGGCAGAGCGACGTGGGCGAGCCAAAAAAGTTTGAACGGCGGGCAAAGCAACGGGCAAACATCTTCAGCCTCAACCGGCGGGCGCCTCGCCGAGCCAGTAGTGACGCCGCGCCGGGCCCGTGATTCGCCCGCGACGCACGAGATTCGCCGTCTTCGCAAAGAAAAACCTTCTTTTTTTTCCCTTGTTCTTTGTCCCTCTCTGCCCTTGGGCGGTGGTGGTGGTGGTGGTGGTGGTGGTGGTGGTGGTGGTAGTGGTGGTATGTATCTCGGTGCTGGCTGGTCCTGCGTCGGGCGCTGGCGCCAGTGGTTCGCTTCCATGCGCGGGTGCCAGTGATGTGGCGGTTGGTGGGTGGTCCGACTCTTTGCGAGTCGTACGTATGTAGGTGCAACGGGGGGGCGCGGCACCGCTGTGGACGACGCACCCTCCACCTCCTCCACCTCCACCTCCACCTCGCAGCAAATGCACGCTTCCCTCCCATGGAGGCCCGAACGGAGCCCATCGCACCACGCAATCTCGTTATGGCAGCTTGTCAAAAAGCAAGCGGCACGGAAGGACCAAGTACCTGGTAGCATGCAGGTACATGGCCCTCCTAGAATGCCAATGTAATACGTGCACCTCCCGCCTGCAGCTTGACACGCGCATCGCGCCCCCGTGCGAGTGCGAGTCTAGTACTCGGATGCCCCCATAGTCGGAGGTACCGAGTACCCTGGTTTTATACGTCAAACCAGGTGGGCACGGCTCTGTGCTCCGATCTGTAATACCATAAAGGATACCTAGTACTTTATACTTGTAGTACCTGCCATCCTCCGTATTTCATGTCTGGCGGGCAATCAGGCAGGACCTCCCAAGCGAGAGCTGCCAGACGCTCCTTCCCTCGGCTACGCCCTTTCCCGTATAATCGCCTCGCCCTCCCACCAGACCCAGATCAAACGGCGCGCTTCCCCCCTCCCCCGAGTTTCTTTTGTCCAGCTCTTCTTCTTCGCTTCGTCCCGTCGATAGGCGCAGTATCCTTCCTTCTCCCGGGCTCTGGGGAAGTTGCTTGTTGCAACGCGTATTCCAAATTGCGCTGTCTCAAAGCACTCGGTCGGCCTCGAGGTGGTTGTTCTTCACCACTCGCGCAAAGGGCATTGGCCGCCCTTCTCCGCACCCGGTGCACCGTGAACTTCTCATAAAGAAGGCCAATTTCGCACTCGCACGAGCTCGCTCTCCCTTCCGACTGTTCAAGACAACCGGCGGGCGAGACCTTTCCATCTTACGAGTGCAGCTCGCAACGTGGTTTGCGTTGCCCTTGCAGCCCTTCTTTTTTCTTCTCTCTCTCTCTCGCTTCCTAGGTGTGTTCGAGACACCACTTCGTCGCTGCGAGCTGCCGAGCACGCCAACGGGCAGGTGCAGGCAGCGTTGGGCATTACTGCGGCTGCTACTCACGTACAGCTGCCTTGCATGACGTGTTGGCACCGCTTATACAGCGCCATACGGCACCCGATTCAACACACTCGTTCCCCAACGTCTTCGACAAGACCGACTCTCCGCCACGAGACTTGACGATATACTACAGCTCCCCTCCTCGGCTGGCAGTCCCTCGTTCGTCGTTGTAAAAGACACCACGCAGCCATTTCAGACACTCGTTGGGCCGTCTGCGACACCTTCGTGCGGACCCGGTCGGGCCACTTTCCAGTCAGTCTCACCCTGCAGGCGTCTGCACAAACACCACCACAAAGGACCTCGGGTCAAGCCCGTTTGGGCAATAAAGACATACAGCAGGGAGTTTGCACTACAACAGGCGCTTCGAGCCGCAACCAAAAAAAGGCCTCCAAACATGGTATCTCCAAAGTCTTCGTCTGTTCGCTCAAAGAGTCGGACGGGCCTGCCCAGACCATCTTTCCGGGACGACACGGCCCTCGTGGCTCTTCGATACGAGAAGACGAAGCCAGCAGAGCCACCCGTCCTCTTGCCTTCGGTCCGCGGCCCGCGCCGTGCGTCCAGTATTGCCAGCTCGCTGGGATCGACAGTCACGACGCGATCCGCGTCGTCGGCCTCGTCACGATCTTACGGCCCAGTCGTTGTCGTGCCGCCAGGCTACTTGCCTCCCATTGCACCGCCCACGGAGCAGCATCCCGCCCTGAGGACTCCAGTGCCTGCCACCGCACGCGTTCTCGACGAGTGGAAACGAGACTCGGGCCTCGCAGCAACGCCCACGTCAATTACAATCCCAGAGGAGTGCGAAGACGACGGCGCCTCGGACCTGCAGCTCCATACCAAGCTGGAGGCCCATGCGGGTTCAGGTGGCGCGGCAGCTCGAGTACGACACATCGAGGATCGGCTAGTGGTGGTGGAGGGCCGAGCGTTGGACGCTTCACCGTTCGTGAGAGAGACGGTGACCGAGTACGAGCGCGGCGCGGGTGCTGCGACGCCGGCGCCCGATGTAAGAGGGTCACCACCCTCACCCCCTTTGACTGCCTCCAACCCTCCTCCACCACTCCCCGCGCGCTCTCGCGATACGATTCGCGTGCAGACGACCTCACCCAAAAAGCTCGTCAAACTGAACAAGGTGTGCTTTTCAGCCGCGCACGACAAGATATTGGGTCGCGAATCTCCGTCCCCGACGAGTCAAATGGCGCCGATGCAGCCACAAGCCTTGCGGGGCTCTGGGACCCCAGCCTCCGCCCACCAGCAGCAGGGGCCACAGCGCCTGCATTCACCAACCGACGACACGACGCCCAGATCCCTATTCCACAATCCCTTTTCCCCAGACTCCTCGCCGCCACCAGCCCACTCCGACGCCGACTTCTCGCCCTTAGCAATCTCCATACCCACCGAGAGTCTCATCGATGATGACTTCATGGCTGGCATGTCCTTCACGAAGCGCGGTAGCATGATGTTTGCCTCGAGACCCGCGACCGCGGTCGACGGCGCAGCCGACGACAGCCCGACGGACGCGACCACGCCCACCTCGTCCTTGGGCCAGACTCAATCGAGCGAATTGGACACGGTGAGACCCATTTCCGAGGTCAGAACCGCCGACACGATGACGACCGACGCGCCCGCACCTCCTGACATCCGGGTCCTGTCGCCCGACGTCGAGAAGGAGTCTCAAAAGGTGAGGTCGCTCTATGAAACCGGCGACGGCATCAAATGGGAAGACGGCGCAAGACACTCCTTCTGCGAGCGCCTCGAGCCCACGCCCGAGGTACCCGCGGAAGAGGCGGCGAACGAACCGTATGGATTTCCTTTGAATTTACCCGCACCCGTGTGTTTGTTTGACCTCTTTGCTGACGCGCTTCCGCCGCCTCATCACAGGGACCCGTCACGGTTAGGAGGCACAAGCGTTGGAACGTCAACATCTACAAGGTCTTTTTCTCAGCCGCAGCAAGATGGATGTGCGCGTGATTTGGAGCTGGCCGAGGCGCTCGACGACCTGGAGGAGCCGGGAGCCGTTTACGTCGACCGATACGGTTTCATCAGCCCGACGCGGCCGGCATCGAGAATCAGCACCCCAACCGAGCTTAAATCAGCGCAGTTCTCTCCTAGGAGGAGAAACTTGCTCCAGAAGCGGGATCCGATGGGCTTCTCCCTGCAGACCGGAGGCGGTCGCATACCGAGCAGGAAGGTGTCTGCGCGCTCGCTGAACACCCAAAACTCGGAAATGTCGGTCGCCTCGGTGCGCTCGTCACGATCGGTCATTCGCCAAGCAGGCAACCTCCTGCCACACAACCGCAATCGGCGCTGGATGGATGAGGCTGGCGACATGTTGACCGTATCACCCAGCCTGCAGGATGTGGTCGAAGCGGCGCAAGTGGAGAAGATCTCGGAAGCGCTGAAGCGGAAGGAGTGGGAACGGTCGGAGAAGTGGCGCAAAATGGCCAAGGTCTCCAAGAGCGGCGAGCAAGGCCGAGGCACGGAATTTGAATTCGATCTCGAAAACCCCAAGTTGATCGAGAGAACATGGAAGGGCATCCCGGATCGATGGAGGGCCGCCGCCTGGTGGTCCTTTCTCTCCACGGCCGCAAAGCAGACCGAAGGCTCGGCCACTGCCGACGACATTATTGCGCACTTTCACCGCCTGCAGTTCAGGAGTTCTCCCGACGACGTACAGATTGACCTGGACGTTCCTCGGACGATCAGTCGGCACATCATGTTTCAGCGGCGGTATCGAGGAGGCCAGCGCCTTCTGTTTCGCGTCCTCCACGCGCTGTCCATCTATTTCCCGGAGACGGGGTATGTTCAAGGCATGGCGTCTCTGGCGGCGACGCTGCTCTGCTATTTCGACGAGGAGCATTGCTTCGTAATGCTGGTGAGGATGTGGCAGCTCCGAGGCTTGGATCAACTCTATCGTCCAGGGTTCGAAGGGTTAATGGCTGCGCTTCGCGAGTTTGAGACAGGTTGGCTCCACAAAGACGTGGCAACCAAGCTGGTGAGTTCCCCTGCCCGAGCATCACTTCTCGTGCGAGGTCCAACGATGGCTGACGAGCGTGGCAGTCCGAGCTTTGCGTGGATAGCACGGCGTACGGAACGCGATGGTACCTGACACTATTCAACCTGTCAATCCCCTTCCCAGCGCAGCTTCGAGTGTGGGACGTATTCCTCCTGCTGGGCACCGGGCCCAAGCCGGGTACCGAGCCAGCGGCTACGGGAACGACAGCAGACGAAAAGCTGCCCCCGCCGGCCACAGGGCTAGACATCCTCCACGCCACGAGCGCTGCTCTCATCCAAGCTCTTCGCGAGGTGCTTCTCGACTCGGATTTCGAAAACGCCATGAAGGCGCTGACATCATGGATACCCATCAAAGATGAGGATCTCCTGATGAAGGTGACCAAGGCGGAATGGAAGACACGACAGAGCAAAAAGAAGACGTAGCAAGCTTGCTTGCCGCTGTGGTCTCTTTAACACATCCGCTTGTACACGACCTACCACGACGAATGCTGCTTCGACTTGTATCAGGACGGCGACGGCGACGGGATGTCTTAATTCTCTGGGCCTACTTTCATTCGGCACCAGAGCCCCTTTACTTTCACTTATCTCTTTTCTTCTGTTTTTTCTCCTTCTTCGACTCTGCAGTCAAACCGATACCCGATTTACGTGCGGACGCAGTCACTCAAAGGGCGCAAGCCTGCCCCGACGCGTAGGGCACTCCCTTTTTCTGGCCATCTGATTAGATGGACAAGCAGGCAGGACTAGATGGATGGATTGGCCGTCCTGCCACTTTGTTTTTTTCCTTCACTTGAGTTGGGCCGGGGCGGTGGATCCTCGAGCCTTTGCGAATACCCCTTTCACAATACAATGATGTTATATTACATGTTTACCTCGATATCCTTACTGTCACAGCCTAATCCCCTTGTTGAGACGCGGCCCCGTGGCCGGGCAAGAGATAGGAATACCAATGTTCAACATATCAAGACGCTTAGCCTACATGGCCCTTTGCAAGCGAGCCTCGTCAGCCCGCGAATGGCGTGTTGGCCGTGACATATCCGACATGGAGTTTACATTGCGATGGAGTTGCCCAGGCTAGTTGCCGCATGTCACGGCGAGAAGTCGCCCGATGAGGGAGGAATCGGAGAAGATTGCCAGAGGAATTATGGACAAGCCGGCCAAGCAGCCGGCGTATGGCACCACCAACCCACCAACCCAGCACGGGGCAATGAAATCAGCAATGGAGCCCGATGGGGTATTGCGGCTCGGCACCGGCGGCGCATACGTACGTACGACGCCCACGCACGCGCGCGTTTACGTGCCGCGCCGGGTGGGCTGGGGTATTGACACGGGTGACGCATGAACCCGCGCCGCTCGGGTAGCAGAAGGAGCAGTTGGGTCCCACCTCCCCCTCCTTGCTGCACTGCACGAGCTTGGGCACGGAACATTTGGCGGGAAAGAGGATGCGGCATGTGGAATGCAAAAGCTCATCGGCGCGCGCGGCAGTGGGCAGCAATATTTCCGGATGCGAAGGAGCCGAGTGGTGAGTGGTGAGTGGGGGAGGACGCTGGAGGGTGGAGGAGGGACCGGATGGATGGATGGCCCACACGCCGGGGGAAAGACGCCGATGCTGCCTGGCAGATGGATTGGCGATGCGTACGAGGGTCTGCGTATTGCATTCTGTTGTGAGTCGCGCGCGGGCTGGTTGAGGCTGGGGCTCAAGCTCGTCCTGCGTGGGCGTCATTGCCGCTCACACCACGCACGCACGCACGCACGCACGCGCCATGCCATGCACGTTCGGATTGCAAGGGCCATTACCACCGCCACCGCCACCACCACCATCACAGTTGCCGGCCCAGAGCTGTGACAAGATGGGAAGAGAAGGAAGAAGGGGGGGGGGGCGCGGAGGGGTGGCGGGCCGTGATGCCGTGCGACCTGGAGGACGAAACGGGCTGGTTCACGATGGGGTGCGCGTGTGGGGTGTTGTCCTCTTGCTGCTATTGTGGCTGTGGCGGCGTGGGCGTTGGGACCGGTCATCGTATGGTATTGTCGTTGGTGTTGCGGTAGTGGTTGTTGTTGTTGTGTTGTTGCTATGTTGTTTATCTGCACGCGGCGGCTCTGCACTCGCACCCAGTGAGCGGGCACCCCGTACAACACTGTACCTCCTCCGCGATACTAGTAGCTATACTAGCTACCGCCTAGCATGTAGATACGTACGATGCAAAACCAAAAGTCCAACACCGAGAACGGAGCTCCGAGCATGTTCCGTGAGCCCTAGCTAGCTCCTTCGGATGTGGAGTTGGGCTCCCCCCCCCCCAATTCCTCGCCTCGGCGGCTTCGCTCCGATGGTGCGTGATGCCCCAGCCAGCAAAAACATCCCGCGCGCGGCATTCTAACGATAGTACGTACTGTATCGTATCGGGCGGTGGGACCACGGCGGCGCGCGGGGCGGGGGGGTTTGACGGCGATGGTGTTTCTTCATCCGGCTCCCTTGCGGAGAATACGTACGTACGTACGTTGTACATGGAGGCCCAAGACGTGAAGGGTCAATACGTGTCCGGCGTACGTAGTGTGTGTCCACCGGTTGTGGTGTGGTTGCGGATGTCAGTCCGTGCCGACGCGCACGCGACTGGAGTAGACACGCACGTGGAGGAGGGTTCGCCTGTCCACTCTATATACATGTTCTTGCACTCGTCGCCCTCCTTCCTTGGCCATGGATGGACGGATCGGGCAATAGTACTGTGCGGCATGACACATGCCAGACGAAAGGCCACTGGCGCATCAGGTACATTATGTACTCCCAGGTGCAGTACCTACCTACCTAGACGGTACGTTAGTTATTGGTCACCCCCGGGGATAGACGGATGCGTAGATCTGGAAGAGAGGAGGCATGCTGGGGAGAGAGCAGGAACCATATGCGCGCGTGTGGCTTGTCTGTTTTCGATGATGAGTTACTTGTCACATTTTAGTCTGGGGGGAGTATTTATCCTTCTCCTCGTGTCTGCTTCGAGAGAACGGCGGGAACAGATATCGGCCAAAACGACGTGGGAGGGCAGAGGAAGCTGCTGGCCGGCGCGCTCTAGTCTCTCTCTCGTCGCTAGGCGCCGGAGTTTTCCAGGCAGGCAGGCAGGCATGTACATGCATGGCATGATCGTTGGCCCTTGCGTACGTTCCATGTGGAGTTTACGGGCACTATATACCCGTACAGCCCAGTACTACGTAGAACGAATTATCGGAACGCGCACATGGGACTTTTTGTTGGGTTTTATTCAGCACCGCCCAGCACTGCATTGTACTGCACTGCTTAGCCTTGCTTGTTCCTGGCGCATCGCTGTTCGCACACTAATAGCGTTGCTTCTCGTATGATATTGTATGGTACTGTACTCGCCAGGCAGAGTCGCATCAACAAACCCGCCGTGGGGGGCGTGTGGGCGGTCAGCGAACTTGCAGCCGACACACTTAACTAAACCAGAATTAGAATTGTGGGAAAACGAAGAAGAAGAAAAAAAAAAGAAAAGAGAGAAGAGAGTCAGACAGTCAGGAACGCGCCAGGCACACGCATGGCATATTTGCTTTTTCTTTTCTGTGTCCTTTCCCTCGTGCGTGTCTCTCTCTCGTGCTGCCCCCGCGCGCCGTCCCGCACCGACGGACACGTGTTGCTCGCCCATCCCTTGCCTCGCTAGGCCAGGGTACTTCTGCTGCGACCTGCTCCTCCTACTTACTAGTACGTAACTTACGGATGGACTGCCATTTGCGCCAGGGCGATTATTGCCGCGCACATTGAAACGCAAACAAACACAAATGTCACAATTCACTTTCGGTCTGGCTGCACGTGCCTTCCACGCTGGAGAGTCTATCCCTTGTCGATTCTTGGCTTTGTTTTCCTTTCGTTTCGTTTCGTTTTGGCCCCCCGCCCTCTCTCTGTTCTGTCTTGGGACGGAAACTAGACTGCATGCATGCATGCATGCGCCCATGCTCGTACGGACTTACCCTACATGTTGAGACGGGGACGTAGGTAATGTACCGTACGAGTACTGTACCTGCAACTTAACATGCATGCCCCCCGTTCGTCGTTGCGACGCTGTTAATTATGCTCCGGTCGCTGGTGCTGCTGCTGTTTCTGGCTGCTACTTCGGCGCTGCTGCTAAAATAAGCATCAGGCCAGGCCCCCAAGAGGTCCAAGACATTTTCCCCCCGGCTCGCCCGCCCGCCCCGCCAAACAGCATCATCCAATCAGACGCGTCCCCTCGCAGCCTCACAACCCCAAAGCGGATAAAACGGACGGACAACGAAACGGCTTCTTGTTCTGCGAGCCACACCCCCTCTATACTCTGTACACACCCCAATCCCCTCACCTCCTCCTCCGTGCTTCTCTTGCCCTTTCCTTCCAAGTTTTCCTCCCCTGCCCTCGATGGAGCTAACAAGAAACCCTCCACCACCACCACCACACCCACCAAGAGCACCACCTCACACGTCCTCTCCTGCTCGTGCCGTTTGTCCTTCACCGTCTCCGTCTCCGTCTCCTGGGCCTCACCGGTCGGTCGGTTGCCGGACTGGGTGGGCACTAGACTAGACGAGCGGCAGGATTGGCCTGCCATATCTTCTTTTTGCATTCCTGACCGGTGCTTGTCTGAGGATGTGTAGAGCAAAGAAATGTACAGCGTGTCATCCACGTGCGTTGCATCTTCGGGATGTGGACACGGTACTTGCATATACCTTCCCAGGAGAGGGGATTTGGAAGCAAGGCAAGGCAAGGTGACTGCTAGCCAGCTACACATACCATCGCAGCAGCACACGTGCAGTGCCCTGCCTACCTACCCACCTACCTAGTACTATGTGCATGTCCGTACGTATGACAATTCTTCCGCGGGAGGGATGGATGGATGGACGGACGACGAACCCTCCCCTCTGCAACCCCTCACCGCTCGGCGCCCCCTCCGTCTGGCAGTCGGCGCCGCACCACCACCACTTGCCATGCGCGCGCGTGCACGCGTGCGCCGCCGCCGCCGCCGCACGCATCCAACCCTCGGATGGGTGGGTTGCGGCGGCGTCCATTCGTTGAGGCTCATCAGCGGCGTCGAGATCAACAGACACAGGCAACGGGCAAGCCGACCGAGAGGAGCTTGCGCACGGGCGCATGTACTAGCCCTAGCCATACATACGTACATGCAGAAACGGCCGCGACACAGCACGTTCACACGCCCCGGAGATACAGCAGCCGTAATTTCCTGGCCTATATGCGACCTACATGTAGTATCATAGAACCACCGCGCGCGCCTACGAACGGGACGCGAGATGCGTTTCTGCGTCGCACCGCAGGTGCTCCCCTCCCCAGGCCGGAGGAATAAATAGAATCATATAGTTACACACGCACATACCTACCATACCCGTAGGTACAGATTTCTGTACGAACCCACGGAGTACGGACCGCAGCCTAATGTCCGATGCGTGCGTGCGTGCGCGGGGGGAGAGGGAGAACACACACACACAGACACAGACACACACACACGCACAACGGGCGGCGAGCCACTCATTAGCTGCCGCTGCTGCTGCCGCTGCTGCTGCTTGTGCTGCAACCGACGCACGCGTTCTGCGACCCTTCAACGACCTGCAGCGTGCATTGAGCAGTGTGTAGCGCACCTCAGGGCTTGCCATCACCGCAGAGCATGCCCGTCGCGAAATTGATGCGCCCGCGCAGCTGCAGCGATGATAAAAATAAAGAAAATAAGGGGAGAGGGGCGGCCGCCGCGGCCAGATTGATGCAAACACGCAAAGCGATTGAGCCAGCAGCAGCCTCTCTGTCCGCCTGTCCGCCTGTCTGCCTGTCCGCAATCTTGCCTCCTCCCGACATCTCTTTCCCTCATCTCAATTGCATCATCAACACCACGCCCCCTCTGCCAACTAGCGGATGCAAGGCGTGTGTGCGCGCGCGCCAGCACGATACGCTCGCTCTCAAGTCCCGACAAGGTTGAAACGGGCCAGCAACCGGGGGCGCGGCCATCGGGCCCCACTCCACG